GAATACATTTTGGCCTAAATTTATAACTAACTTTGAGTTTACTATATATTTTTTATAGCTGAAAGTAAAAAATATTGTTTTTGTTCCAAATTTTTGGTCTTTTTTTGTTTAGAGCGTGAAAAATAAAAAGCGTACAGGTGATCAAATACCAATGAAAGAAAACTCTATTTGTGTGAAAAAAGGACGTAAATTTCGTTTGGGTGCAGCATTGCATGTCCGCGCAATTATCAGTTGATTAGTGCAGCGCCGAGTAGCAAAAAGAGGCCTGGTCATTGAGGGGGGTAAATCCTCAGGAGTGCAAGTGGTTAATGCTTGATTTTTTTTTTTCTGCTTAGTAATGTTTTTATTTATTATTGTTTTTATTTTTTTGTTTTCTATATGTTTGATACTGCATTATTACCCTCTTTGGATCAATCTTTGCGCCATGAGGATGGGACAAATAAAATGATGTCAGCAGCTTGCACTCCATTGTTCATGGATGCATTGTGTCAGATACAAACATGAGCAAACTCAGATTGTTGCACAGTATACCCTATGATCCGAAGGTTGCTTTCCCGGATGGCGGAACACCAGGACCTGGTTGCATGTGCGACCTTTGCGACCCTGTTTATTCCACCATGGTGTCAGTAGTTTTTTTTTTTTTTTTCTTTTTTTTATATATTTTTTATTTGCAAGTTCCAGTGCTATTTTGGTGTGTTCCAGTGCGTTTTTGATGCATTTTACCTTGTTGAAGTACAGTTCTGTGCAAAAAATATGCAGCGTGTTCTACTTCATTTTTGTCTGCAACCGGAACACACTGGAACTGCAAGCACTGATGTGAACTATGACACTTACAACCATATCACCTGCTTTCTGTGCATTTTTGATGCAGAAAACAAACAACTGAAATGCATGTATTGTGAACTGGCCCTTAGTGTGGAAAAAAAAACTGTTGTGTCAGCAGAATTTTCTCCATAATGCGTGATTATATTTTCCACTGAGTAATGCTTTGTTGTTTAGATATTTTTGTTCTCTATATGTTTGATAGTGCATTATTACCCTCCTTAGATCAATCATAACGCCATGAGGATGGGACAACAAAATGATGTCTTGCAATCCTTTCTTCCTGCATGTATCCTGCCAAATACAAATGTGAGCAAACTCAGATTGTTGTACAGTATACCATGATCCTAAGGCTGCATTCACACCTGCATGACGCGACACTTTTTTGTTTGCACGCTTCTCCAGTAATAGTATAGGGTGGTCCATTCACCTGAATAGCTGCCTATAGGTCATGTATCTTTTTTTGGCAGTGAGCCTTGCCAAAAAAAGATACATGAGCTAAAGGGCTCCAGGCCGGGACCCTTCCCACTAATCCCCAGGACCTTTTACTTCCATCACGAGGCCCTTTATTACGGTCCCACAGAGGAACCCTTTCACATGTTCTGTAGTGCGCCCCCTTCTTGTCATCTTAGGGCCCCCCACGGTGGCAGAATGCCAGAACCCAGTTACATGTGTGATCGCCACTGGTGTAAGGCTACGTTCACGCTAGCGTTGTGTGCAGGTGGCAGAGAGGCGTTTGGGAAGCGTTTTTACAGCTTCCAAAATGCCTCTGACAATTCTGCACATTGCAGCATATGGTGCTGTTCTAATGGGAGCATTAGCGTCGCGGCAAAACGGACGCCTCTGGTCGAGTCAGGAGGTGTTGAAGCCTCCTATTCTAGTCTATGGTGTCGCGTTGTGACGCGGTTACGGGGCGTTTGCGGAGCGGTAACACCATTTAAACTTCATTATAGGCATTTGTGGAGCGTTTTTAACACTTAGCAAATGCCTAGAAACCGCCACTAAACTGCGCATGCGGCGTTTGTGGAGAGTTAAAAAACGATCCGCAAGCGCCGAACCAACGCTTGCCAAACGCTATAGGGGCGCTTGGCAAGCGTTGGTAAAACAGTCAACTGTGAATGAGCCCTAAGTAGTTCTTTTTTTATTTTTTTAATTTCTTTATTATTTTTCTGGGTAGAGGGATTCACAATCAGTGGTGAAGTAATTGAGTTTAGTTTTAAAAGTACAAGGAAAAAATATAAGTGAATAAATACTTAAATGATAAAAGAGTACCAGCCAGAAAATGTTAATACGCCAACTAGGACTTGAACCCGGGTCACAAGAATGGAAATCTTGCATGATACCCCTACACTACTGGTGCTCTTAATGGTCAATGGTTTGGAAAAAAACTGCTGTGTCTGTAGAATTTATTTCTCTAATTAAAGGATAAGGTCGTATAAATATATACAGGCATATCTCGGTTTACGAACGCCTCGGTTAATGTAACTTTTGGTTTACAAATAAAAATACATTGAAAATAATTCCTCGGTTTACGAATTTTTTTTGTAATATGAAGTAGGTTTCCCCAGGATGCATTGCACCTAGGAGGTTTATAGCGTCGGCCCCGTGCCTTTAAAGTGCACTTTATAAAGAGTTTTGAACAGATAAACTTTTTTTTACTTTTATCTGACCTCCGGAACGGATTCATTGTTTTTCAATGCATTTACAAATTTTTTTTTTAATCATGTCCCTGTACAGTATTTATGTCTTTAAAGTGCACTTTATAAAGAGTTTTGAACAGATGAAAATACTTTTTTAAAACTTTTTTTCTGACCTCCGGAACGGATTAATTGGCTTTCAATGCATTCCTAGAGGAAACCGCATTTCGGTTTACAAATTTTTCGTAATATGAAATGTACCGCAGAACGAATTGAATTCCTAAACTGAGGAATGCCTATACTATATATATATATATATATATATATATATTTTTAAATAATAACAAAAATGTTTTTGTTCTCTATATGTTTGATAGTTCATTATTACCCTCTTTAGATCAATCTTAGCGCCATGAGGATTGGTCAAATTAAATGACATAAGCAGTTTGCAAACCATTGTTCCTGTATGTATTCTGTCAAATACAAACATGAGCAAACTCAGATTGTTGCACAGTATACCCTGTGATCCTAAGGTTGCTTTGCACGCTTCTCCAGCAATAGCATAGGGCAGCCCATCCACCCCGGATGGCAGAACACCAAGACCCAGTTGCATGTGTGACCTTTGCGACCCTGGTAATTCCGCCACTGGTGTGTCAGTAGTTTTTTATTTTTGTTATTTTCTTTTTTTTTTTACATTTTTTTTATTTTTATATTTTAACAAAATGTTTTTGCAAATGTATTTTTTAAAATGTTTTAGCAGTTGGGGGGCTTTGGTGAGATATAAGGGGGTACATATAGTGGCTGCATGGGCCCCCTAGAGCATAGGGCCAGTTTGCAATTCCGACTCCTGTATCTACGCCCCTGACAGCAACCTGTGTTTAGGGTGCCATTAAAAATGAATGGCACCATAAGCGTAATGCACATTTTGGCATGTTTTTCAGTTGTTTCCGGAACTAGTGCAGAAAATAGTGTGTTTCAGTGTGCTTTCCTGGATATGCATGAAAATCGCACCAAAATTTGCATTATGCTTGCAGTACTATTAACCACTTCCCGTCCGGCCCATGTGCATAAATGGCTGGATGGGAGCAGTGCAGGAGCCTGTGCACGCTCCCCTGCGAACACCGATCGCTGTACGGGACCTCTGTGTGAGATCCCGATCAGGTGATCACTGATTAGCCAATCAGTGATCACATGAATAGTAGTAAGCAAGATGTCACTTCCTGACATCATTGCTTACTACGTGTGAAATCTGTGAATGATCACAGAGGTCACATGGTACAAGGCTATTCACAACAGCCTTGTACCATGTGACAAGCTGTGACTAATCACAGCTCTCACAGTATTTCTCAATGGCTGCAAGAATGCAGCCAGAGAGAAGGAGAAATGATTGTTTTTACAGCCTCTATGGGTGTAAAAGCAATCAGTGTTAGAAAAAAAAAAAATCTTCATCACCCCCCACAAGTAGTACAGTGTCACTGTTGCCCTTTCCTTTCTTTTGTATGCATTCATTAATTGATGAGTTTCATTTCATCCTATTTGTTGCGTTGAACCAATTTGTTTTCGGAATCCGTTTCGCATCTTCGGCATTTGTTCCGTATATTTGTTGGTCTGGGTAGATTTGAATGAGCTTGCCATTTTTGGGTGGATTTATTATTTATATATTGAAACTTTTGGAAGGATTCAATTTTCAATAATGGAAATTTGGATCAATTTGATATTCGAGTCTAAATTATTGAATGAATTTGAAAATTGAATGAATTTCCCCATGGGCCCGAATTACTGTCGCAGCATGTGGCGTCATCCACATAAAACAAATGCAATGAGGGCGCTAAAGCGAAGCTCCTGTCTCCTGTGAATAAATGCAAAAACTGTAGCTGCTGACTGTTAAAAAACAGTCACTCACCTGTCCCTCAGTCCAATAGTTTCCTTCCTGCAGCTGGTTTGCTCCAGCATTCCTCTCTCTCCGGCTTCGGCATCTTCAGTGTGGGCACCCGGCTGCAACAACTTGCGGTTTCACAGCCAAGTGCCCACTGCGCATGCGTGAGCAGCTCTGTGCCTTGTGAATGGTCCTGCAGTCTTCTGGCACCTGTCACGTGTCCCAGAAGACTGCGGTGGGGGGTGGGAGTATAACTTCTGCTTCCGATCACCTAGATGGCTGGAGCAGAAGTGGGAGTGGGTACCTGCAAAATCAGGTACCTGCTCCCCAAAGGTGCCGATCCTTAAAGTAATACTAAACCCCTAACCCTGCATTCACTATATCTGGTCTCCCAGGACCCTGCATTCACTATATCTGGTCTCCCAGGACCCTGCATTCACTATATCTTGTCTCCCTGGACCCTGCATTCACTATATCTGCTCTCCCCAGACCCTGCATTCACTATATTTGGTCTCCCCGGAACCTGCATTCACTATATCTGGTCTCCCTGGAACCTGCATTCAATATATCAGCTCTCCCGGACCCTGCATTCACTATATCTAGTCTCCCTGGACCCTGCATTCACTATATCTGGTCTCCCAGGACCCTGCATTCACTATATCTGGTCTCCCCTGACCCCGCATTCACTATATCTGGTCTCCCCGGACCCTGCATTCACTATATCTGGTCTCCCCAGGCCCTACATTCACTATATCCGGTCTCCCCAGACCCTGCATTCACTGTATCCGCTCTCCCGGACCCTGCATTTACTATATCTGGTCTCCCCAGACCCTGCATTCACTATATCCGGTCTCCCCGGAACCTGCATTCACTATATCAGCTCTCCTGGACCCTGCATTCACTATATCTGGTCTCCCCTGGACCCTGCATTCACTATATCTTGTCTCCCCGGACCCTGCATTCACTATATCTTGTCTCCCCGGACCCTGCATTCACTATATCTTGTCTCCCTGGACCCTGCATTCACTATATCTGGTCTCCCAGGACCCTGCATTCACTGTATCTGCTCTCCCGCACCCTGCATTTACTATATCTGGTCTCCCCAGACCCTGCATTCACTATATCTGGTCTCCCTGGAACCTGCATTTACTATATCAGCTCTCCCGGACCCTGCATTCACTATATCTGGTCTCCCCGGACCCTGCATTCACTATACCTGGTCTCCCGGACCCTGCAATCACTATATCTGGTCTCCACTAACCCTGCATTCACTATATCTGGTCTCCCAGGACCCAGCATTCACTATATCTGGTCTCCCGGACCCTGCATTCACTATATCTGGTCTCCCAGGACCCTGCATTCACTATATCTGGTCTCCCCGGACCCCGCATTCACTATATCTGGTCTCCCAAGACCCTGCATTCATATATATGGTCTCCCCGGACCCTGCATTCACTATATCTGGTCTCCCACAGTACACAAAACATGGAAATGCATGCATATGGCCGGCGCATATAAACTGCTAAATACCTTTTTTCATCAGCAGCATATAGCAGTCTTGTGACTTCTATCAGTGTCCAGTAGAGCACTGGTTAAAGATTGTAGGGGGGGAGTTTTCTTTCTGCTCTAGGAGGATGCAGGACCCCTGAACTCTGCCTGGACAGTGCTGATTGGCCCTGTGCTGATCACATGCACTTTCCCAAGAAAAAAAAAAACCCTCTCTTGCAATATGCACTAAACTGAGCAAGTGCAAAATGGCTACGATTCAGTCTGTTTTATCAGGAGATCAGGCTCCATGCACACGGGGCATTTTCATAACGCTGGTAATGTTAAATGTGTAAAGTTTGTGGTGCATTTTTTGTTTTTTATGCATTTTTGATGCGTTTTGCATTTTTAGTCTGCCTAGCAACAAATTGCCCCCTCCAAAAAAAAACATAAAAACTCAAAATGCATCAAAAACGTGTTCAAAAACTCAAAACACACTGCAAAAAGTGTGACTGTATAGTGTGTCACAGCTCTGTGCTGTCACACTACAAATGCAAAAAAAATGGGCCTACACCTCAATATTGCTATACCCTAAGTCTAGGTTCACACCTAAGTGTTTTTATTCAGCATTTTGCATTTTGCAGAAACGCACAGCAGTCCATTTAACATGATTTCCTATGGGACAGGTTCACATCTCCGCGTTTTCACCCGGTGCGTTTTTTTGGAAATGGTCAGGGACTTTTTTAAATGCAAAATATTTTTTTTTTGTTCTATAGACTTCGAAGGAGACGTTGCAGAAATGTATCTAGTGCGTTTTTGATGCATTTTGCATTTTAATCTGCCCAGCAACAAGTTGGAAAAACATATCAAAAACGCATGTGCAAAAATGCAAAACACATTACAAAAAGCACTGTAGAAATGGATCAAATGCAAACTGCATCGAACTAAACCTAAGTCTAGGTTCACACTTATGCATTTTCCCACTGCATTTTTCAGAAATGCACACCAGTCCATTTAACATGATTTTCTATGGGACAGGTTCACATGTCCGCGTTTTCACCCGCTGCATTTTTTGGAAAGGGTCAGGGACTTTTTTAAACACAAAAGGTTGCGTTTTTGGTTCTATAGACTTCAATAGAGACGCTGCAGAAAAGCATGTTGTGCGTTCTTGATGCGTTTTTGATGTATTTTTTTATGTATTTTGCATTTTAAACCTGCCTATCAACAAGAAAAATAAAAAAAATAAAAAAAGCCCCACAAAGTGCATCAATAACGTGGCAAAACACGTAAAAAATGTAGGTGCAAAAACACAGAAACGGCTCAATTGCAACCTGCATAGGTGTGAACCTAGCCTGAAATGCAAAAAGTTGCGTTTTTGGTTTTATAGAATGGAGACACTGCAGAAAAGCATTGTATGTTTTTGATGTGTTTATGATGTGTTTTACGTTTTGCATTTTATTCTGCCCAGCAACAGGTTGGAAAATAAACAAAACTTATCAAAAATGCGTCAATAACACATGAGCAAATATGCAAAACGTGCCGCAAAAAGCACTGCAGAAACGCATCAAACGCAAACTGCCTAGCTTAGGCTAGGTTCACACCTACGCAGGTTGCATTTAACCTGTTTCTGCATTGTGTTTTGTTTTTGTACCTGCGCCTTTGCCGCATTTTTAATGCTTTTTTTTCATTTTTTAAATTTTTTCTTGTTACTAGGCAGATTTAAAATGCAATACGCATCAAAAATGCAGCAAACAAGGCATAAAAAAACAGCAAAATCACACTACATGCTTTTCTGCAGCATTTCCATTGAAGTGTATAGAACCAAAAACGCAACTTTTTGCATTAAAAAAACTCACTAAGCCCGGGTTCACATTTTTGCAGTGCAACATACCGCATGTGATTCGCACAGGAACCACACTGCATTCCTATGCAAATCACATGCGAATTCTGTGCGGTGCGATTTAAGCCCACATTTTGTATGGCTCAAATCGCACCGCATCCGCACCAAAAATCGCATCCGATTCTACACATCGCCCCGCATTTTGCGAACTGATTTCGGGGTGTCGTTAACTTAAAAATGGGGTGCGATTATGATGCGGTGGGGAAATCGCACAGAAACCGCTGCAATTTTTGCCTCGCATTAGTGTGAACCCGGGCTGAACCTTTCCAAAAAAAATGTGGAGAAAACACGGAGATGTGAACCTGTCCCATAGGAAGTGATGTTCAATGGACGGCTGTGTGTTTCTGCAAAACGCAGGAGAAAATGCTTAGGGGTGAACCTGGGGTAAAGAAGGAATTCAGGAAACAAAAGGATTCCAATTTTCTGAAGTTAGATTCTCCAATTTAGCAAAGATAATAAAACAGGTAAAAGTTAGAATGTTATGGAATTTTTGTGAAGATATAGACAACTCCAATGAGAGAACACAACTATTCTATGGTAATAAAAAGAAAAGAAGAAAAATAAAAAGTTCTCCTGCGCTAGCCGGGACTCGAACCCGGGTCGCAAGAATGGGAATCTTGCATGATACCCCTACACTACTAGCGCTGATGGTGTTGTCTCCCCAGCTGCTCACTATTGTAGTAGATATTAGAGCATGTGTTACTATGTAATAGTATGATCCTTTCCTTTTAACAAAAGCATTTGACTTTTCATTGTCCCTTATGCAATTCTATGCTGTAGAATTTTCAGTCCCATTGCAGTTGTTGCTCAGCAGGTCTGTAATGGAAGAACAAGCAGTAATGTGAGCTGATATACGTGTAAAGAGTAAAATATTCGTTTAACGCCGCATAGATGGATCACATTGATAAAACTGCAAGAATATCAGCAAAATGTTTCTGCAGGCCCCAGCGAGATTTGAACTCGCGACCCCTGGTTTACAAGACCAGTGCTCTAACCCCTGAGCTATGGAGCCGTCCGCTGAGCAGCTGAGCTCCAGCTCGATATACAACAGCACTGCACTGCAAGGCTTGGGAGGGTTTCTAGTTACAAAGACTAGACTGACACACTCAGGTTTCTGGTTTCATTTTCCTGCACAGAGGTCCAGGACTCCACCTGTTGTGAATTGCTGATTGAGCCTGGGTTCACACTAATGCCGTGCAGTGATACGCACAGAAACTGCACCGCATCCCTCTGCAAATCACATGTGATTTGTGTGCAGTGCCTTTTGTATGGCTCTTATCGAACCGCGCTCGCACCAAAAAGGTACAGGACCCTTTTTTTTGTCCGCACTAGAATCGGATCGCATGGGTATTCACACCTATACGATCCGATTCTGCACATCGCACTGTGCTTTGCGGACCGCTTTCGGGGTGTGTTTAAAATACATGTGGTGCAATTCTGATGCGGTGCGGAATTCTCACAGAAAACGCTGTGAATTCCGGACTGCATCAGTGTGAACCCAGGCTAAGCCCAGGTTCACATATATGTGGTGCAGTATATTGCATGTGATTCGCACAGGAACCGCACGGCGTTCCTGTGCAAATCACATGCGATTTGCGTGCGGTGCGATTGGAGCCATACCTTTTTTGTATGATTCTAATCGCACCGCACCTGCACCAAAAACATGCAGGACCCTTTTTTGGATCGCATGGGTATTCACACCTATGTGATCCGATTCTGCACATCCCACCGCGTTTTGCAGACCGCTTTCGGGGTGTTGTTAACTTAAAGCGGAGTTCCACCTTAAAAAAAAAAAGTCAGCAACTACAAAAACTGTAGCTGCAGACTTTTAAAGTACAGCCACTTACCTGTCCAACAGTGTCCTCACCACCGCTAGTCTTCTGGGACCTGTCACAGGGAGGGAGGGGGGAGGACAACTTCTGCTTCCAACCGCCTAGGCGATCGCAGCGGAAGTCAAATTCGGGTACCCGCTCCCCAAAGGTGCCAATCCTTAATAGAGAGCAGGGGACAAAGGCTTAAAGCGGAACTTCCCCTTTTGGATGGAGCTCCGCTTTAACATACACACCCGCAGCGGTTTGCATGAACGGGGTGCGATTCTGAAACCGTGCGGAATTCGCCCAGAAAACGCTGCAAATTCCGCACCGCATCAGTGTGATCAGGACTAAATTGCTTTGTGGCTTGCAGAAAGGGCTCTGGGCTGATGGAGGAGACTTATGCAGGCCACAGACGGGTTGAAAATCGGCCAATTTTTTGGCTGAAAAAAAAATCGGCCGATTTTTGCACCGTTAGTGGGTTAATTGGTCGGCCATTTTTAAGGATTTTGTCACTTTTTTTTATCGGTGAAGTTAGAAAAAAAATCGGCCAATTTGCCGATCGGCCAATTTTCCTGGCAATGATGGGAAAATCTGCCGATCTTTTTACCGATAAAAAAATCTGGGCATGAGCCGTGACCTGCAAGAAGAGAAAAAGAAGAAAGGAAGAAAAAAAGAATAAGAATTCTAGTCTGCTATTATATTTGACATGAAAAAGTATTGCGGTTGCAACAACATTGTATCTATTTGTATCCAAATAAAAACATCTATATCCAAAATGGATACAAACAGATACATTGTTGCAACCGCAATACTTTTTCATGTCAAATATAATAGCAGAGCTCTCTGCAGGGACAGAAGTAATTAAATGCTGGCTGTAGACAGGACAAAAATCAGCCGATTTTTTTTTACCGTTGGTGGTAACGTCGGCCTATTGAACGACCAATTTTTTTTATTTTTTTTTAAAAAGGCGTGTTTTCAACCCGTCTATGGCATGCATTAAGCCTCACGTTCACATCCGATTTTGAAATCGTGCCACTGACAGTGAAGTCGCACAATTTCAAAATCGGCTGAGATGCCGATTTCCTTGCGCTTTGCGATATGCAAATCACAGCAAAAGGAGTACATGTACTCCTTTTGAAATCGGTGCTCCGACCAAGTCAAAACCGCACCAATATGACCACTCTGATAGCGGACAATATGGTGCAACTTGGCATGCGATTTGCAAGTCGCAGGGCATGGAATTCTCATACCAAGTTGCATCCAGTGTGAACCAGCCCTAATGCAGCAATGGAGTCACTGTACAATTTCCTATTGGACAAATATTACTTGTGTCTTCTAAGCTGATGGAAGGATGAGAGGCTCTTGGAGCATGTGCAGACTATCCCCCCACTTCGGAGCCATGGGTGGATCTTACCTTCCTGAGTAGCTCATACGAGCATGCTGTTCTGTGCCATGACTGTTCTCACTGTCGCAAGCAATTGAACGATTTTCTTTACAAGAAAATTTCATAATGTTTGGCCAGTCCTAGGCTAGGTTCACACCTATGCAGGTTGCGTTTGAGACGTTTCTGTTTTGCGTTTTGCATTTTTGATGTGTTTTGTGGTTTTTCCTTGTTGCTGAGCAGATTTAAAACGCATAAAAATATGCAGCAAAAACGCACTATGTGCTTTTCTGCAGCATTTCCATTTAAGTCCATAGAAACAAAAATGCAACATTTTGCGTTTAAAAAAGTCCCTGATCATTTCCAAAAAAACGCATCAGGTGAAAATGTGGAGATGTGAACCTGTCCCACAGGAAATCCTTCTAAATGGACAGTTACCTTCCTGAGTAGCTCATATGAGTGTGTTTGTGTGCCATGACTGTTCTCACTGTCGTAGGGAATTGAGCGATTTGTTTCACATTTTGTATGGCTCAAATCGCAACGTATCCACACTAAAAAAGTGCAAGACCCTTTTTTTGTGCGCAGCAGAATCGGATCGCATGGATGTTCACACCCATGTGATCCGATACTACAGATTGCACTGTGGTTTGCAAACTGATTTTGGGGTGTCGTTAACTTAAAATACACATGCACTACAGTCCATTTAACATGCTTTCCTATGGGACAGGTTCACATCTATGCTTTTTTAAACTGCTGTGTTTTTGGAAAAGGTAAGCGACTTTTTTAAGCGTGGGTTTACACTGAAAGTTATAGCATTTACAAAAGGCGGTATATATATACTGGGATTTTTTTTTTTTTTTTTACTAGTAATGGCGGCGATCAGCGACTTATAGTGGGACTGCGGCGGCCATTCTGACACTGGGGGAACTTACTTGGTGTCACTAACATCCCCAGTGACACCAATACAGTGATCAGTGCTAATAAAAAGCACTGACACTGTACTAATGGAACTAGGCATGAAGGGGTTAACATCTGGGGTGATCAAAGGGTTAACTGTGTGCTGGGAGTGTTTTACTAGGGGGCGGTGTGTTGGTGCTTCACTGTAATCACACTGCTTTGGATGGCTGTGCTATGCAGAGCCATACAAAACAGTGTGCAGGAGCTGACAGGGGAGAGATCTGTGTTGTTTATAGACAGGTCTCTCCCCCGTTGATAATACTCGGAGATCGGGAAGACTGTATTGTATACAAACAGTTCCCCCCCTTCCCCGTCGGAGATACTCTGTAATCACTGGGCACCAGCGAGTAATCACCGGCTGGGACCCCATGAGTGGCAGCCGCACATGGTGGCACGGGTAGGGCGCACCCATGCCTCGCGTGCACCCCCTACCTGGGTATGCAAAATCACATATATATATATTTGATTTTGTGCACCCATGCTGCCCTGTAGCCGTATATCTGCTATAGGGTGGTTGGGAATTGGTTAATGCAGAAGAGACAAAGCACTTTCACCCATTTTTTTTCCACTTTTACAACGTCCTGGGAGTTTTCCAGTCAGGCTTCATGAGGTACATCAGGCCTACTACTACAGTGAGGATATTACTCATCTTTGGCCAAAGCCGCTCAGCTTTGTTCAGTTCTTGTGGTAAAGGCGAATTGACCGTTTTAATGCTCAGAATGCATTTAGTAACACTTGATTTGCTATAGAAGACATGATGGGTGAAGCTTACAAAGGGATTTTATTATTTGCGGTCATTTTATACTATTATTACTTTTTTTTCTAAAGTTTACAAGTGAACAGCCACTTGACACGCCTTAATCGCTTCCCCTCTGCCCTATAGGAGAAATACAGCTACAGGGCGGCACGGGTGCTCAAAATCATGTATATTTACGTGATTTTGCAATTCCGGGTAGGGGGTGCGCGTGAGCCCTACCAGCTGCCTCAGCTGTCAATCACCAGGTTCCGGCCAATGATTTTCCGCTGGCACCCGGTGATCGCTGAGTATCACTGACGGGGGAGAGAACTGTGTATAAACAATAGAGATCTCTCCAGTCAGCTCCTGCACACTGCTTTGTATGGCTGTGCAAAGCAGTACAAAGCAGTGTGCTTACAGTGTAAAGCACACACAGAGCACACAGTTAACCCTTTGATCGCCCCAGATGTTAACCCCTTCCTGCCCAGTGCCATTAGTACAGTGTCAGTGCTTTTTATTAGCACTGATCACTGTATTGGTGTCACTGGGGATGTCAGTGACACCAAGTTAGTTCCCCCCAGTGTCAGAATGCCCGCCACAGTCCTGCTATAAGTTGCTGATCGCCGCCACTACTAGTAAAATTGAAAAAAAAAAATTCCAGTATATATACCCTCATTTGTAAATGCTATAACTGTCACGTAAACCAATTAATTTACACGTATTGGAATTTTTTTAGCAGACATGCAGCAGAATACATTTTGGCCTAAATTTATGACACAATTTTATTTTTAAAATGTTTTACTGGACATGTTTAATAGCAAAAAGTAAAAAATATTGTCTTTTTTTGCTTATAGTCCAAAAAAAAAAACCCCAAATCGCACAGGCGATCAAATACTACAGAAAGAAAGCTCTATTTGTTGGGAAAAAAAAAGACGTAAATTTCATTTGGGTGCAGCGTTGCATGACCGCGCAAATGTCATTTAAAGTAACGCAGTGCTGTATCGCAAAATATGGCCTGGTCAGGAAGGGGGGGGGAATCCTCTGGAGGGCAAGTGGATAAATAATGCTGGAACTATACATTTACACTCCATCAAATCCTTCTCTGTGATGTCAATTTATTCTGTCACCAATAAAGTTTTACACTGATTTTTTTTTTTTTCTCCACCACAGCCAAGGCGCGGTCCCTCTACCCTGACGTCACCGCGCATGGTCATTTGAGCGATCCGGAGCGTGCCCGTTCATCACGAGCTTTGAAGGAGGCGAGCACGCACACGCCCAGCCCCGCTAGCCAATGGCGTGGCTTGGGCGCTGGAACGCGCCTGAGGTTTCTCCAATCGGGAAGGAGGAACGGCAAGAGGAGGGAGCGCGTGTGCGCGCACCGGAGTAAGGGGGTGCGGAGAGGCCAAGGGAAGGAGAGGGAGACATGCTGCGGTGTCAGGTGAGTCAGAGCTTAGGGTGGGCTGTTATGGCCGGCTCCGGCTTTCAGTGTGGTCCCAGTGAGCAGGTTAGTGGTGGAGGGGTACTAGCCATGGCTCCTGGTGGGGTGAGGGGAGTAACACCATTACTTTGTTTACCATGGATACGCAGAGCTGCTCACCTCTACTCCTTGTTGGAGTCTGAATACAGGTCACATGACTGGACACAGGACAGAGATTGGACAATCATAGTGCTTCTAAAGGCTGACAGTTTTTACATTAAACTGATTGTAAAGTCTGATTTTTTTTTTTTTTTTTCCTAACCAAAATAATAAAAAGGTTTGTACTTGGCTGCCCTGAGCGGCCCCGATCCTCCGCTAATGGGGTCCCCCGCCGGCACATCTAGTCCCTCCTCTGGAGTGCCCCAGCTTGCTATGGGGGCTTACGTGCAGTCTCGATTCTCAGCCACACTGCCTGCGTACATAGACACAGAGAGCCTGGCTCGGCCCCACCCCCTGTTCCCTCTTCATGGGATATGACTGATAGTAGTGGGAGCCAGTGGCACCCACCGCCTCAGCAAAGCCTGTGAGAGTGGGGAGACGAGGAGAGCGCACCTACAGCCGTGCACAGCGCTGAACCAAGTGCTAAGTATAGGCGGGGGATATTGCTACCTAAACATTTTTTACTTTAGCCGCTGATGGACAGCCTCAGGCAGGGCGGCCGCTGTACGCTGGATCACGTATCTGGTACATGGTATGCGCTTCTGGGTAGGGGGCACATGGGCGCTGCTCTTCAATACAGCACAAGCCAATCGGTGGGCCCGGGCCAGTGGTTGATTGCCGGGATGTGCTGATGGGCTCAGCAGATCCCCAAAATACATTCTGCTACTTCTATCGAGTATGGGGATACCACATGTGTGAGATTTTTTTGGGAGCCTAGCCACATACAGGAGCCTGAAATCCAATGACCACTTTGAAAGCCTGAAGGTGCGTAACTTCCTCATTTCACTTCCTCAATACCTATCACAGTTTCGGAGGCCCCGACATGCCAGGATAGCACCAAACCCCCCCAAATGACCCCTTTTTGGAAAGTAGACACCCCAAGGAATTTAAAAGGAGGCATGGTGAGTATTTTGCAGATCTAATTTTTTCTCACAAGGTTTTGAAATATAAACAGAAAAGAAAAAATGTTTGTTTTCTTCATATTCCAAAAACTTGTGGCAACAAACGAGATCTGCAAAATACGCACCATGCTTCTTATAAAATTCCTTGGGGTGTCTACTTTCCAAAAAGGGGTCATTTGGGGGTGGGGGTACTATCCTAGCTTTTCAGGGCCTCCGAAACTGTGATAGGTAGTCAGGAAGTGTAATGAGGAAATAAAGCCCTTTAAAAGCCTGAAAGTGATTGGATTTTGAGGTCCTGTACTTGGCTAGACTGCCAAAAAGTCTCTCACATGTGGTACCCCCATTCTCGTGAGAAGTAGCAGAATGTATTTTGGGGAGTAATTCCAAATATACCCATGGCATGTGTTGAGCAATAATTTAAGTGACAGTTTTGTGTAAAAAAAAAAAAAAAAACATTTCCCAAAAACTTGTGATAAAAAAATAAATTCTTCTGTTGACTCAACATGCCTCTCAGCAAATAGTTTGGGGTGTCTACTTTCCAAAAAAGGGTTGTTTTGGGGGGTGGGGGCATTTTATGCCCAGCATTAGAAGTTTATGCCACACATCACTCACTCTTCTAACCACCTGAAGACCAAGCCTTTTCTGACACTTTTTGTTCACATGAAAAAAAAATCTCTATTTTTGCTAAGAAATTACTTTGAACCCCCAAACATTATATATTTTTTTAAAGCATACACCCTAGTGAATAAAATGGTGGGTGCTGCAATTTTTTATGTCACATAGTACTTTAAAAAAAAATACACTCTTTTAAATTTTAATGTACAAAAACACAATATATTGGTCAATTATTTGGTAACTTATAAAAGATGATGCTATGCTGAGTAAATAGATACCAAACATGACCTGCTTTAAATGTGCGCATGCCCCGTGCAATGGTGACAAACTGCATACATTTTTAATATCCATAGGCAACTTTACAGGCTACAATTTTAGATTTACAGAGGATGTCTAGTGCTAGAATTACTGCCTTTAATCTGACGTTCGTGGCGATAACTCGCATGCATGGTGCAACCGCTGTTTACATACGGCGGGAGTGAGGGTACTTATTTTTTTTTTAGTTTGAAGTTTTTTATTTTTATACTCTCCCTTTCATTTTTCATTTTTTTGATCACTTTTAATGCTATCACAGGGAATGCAAATATCACCTATAACTTCAATGGGTCATATATTCTTTTTTGAGAAATCTGGGGTCTATAAGACTCTAGATCTCTCCTCTGCCCTTACATCATCTGATCTCGCCAAGATTGGTGTGATCAGATACTTTCCCAATACTTCTGCAGCTGCAGGCATCATCCTGGTATAACCAATCAAAGTCAAGTGATGTACCAGTACGTCGCTGGTCCTTGTTGGGTGTATATACTATGTTGCCTGTGGGCTGAATGGAAAAAAAGAGAAGAAATCTCTGCCAGAAAAAGTGTGTGGCATGCCCACCATTAGAATATACCTCCCTGCATCCATCCACTTCTAATGGTGGACACACATGAAATGTGCCAACAAATATTATAAAATATATATGCTAAAGCATAGGGCCATCCACCCAGTAGCCACCCCAGGCCCCCATGCTTCGGCCTATATGCTCTTTTTTTTTTTTAACTGCGGATGAAAAATCTCATCCAACAGCACTGCACACACCTACTTATGTATATTCTGAGAGCAAGACCCTGTTGCTGTCAGAATAAACAAGTCGGTGCTGCAGTTGAATGACATTCCTGCAAAGAAAACCGCAATGGTTAACAATTATACAGTAACTCAATAACACAACTTTTTTATGGAAATATCTCTGTCAGGAAAAGTTTGTGGTATGCCCAACATTAGATTTTACC